TTTTTTTTTTTGGTACTGGGGCTCTAACTCAGGACCTCGAGCTTGCGAAGCAGGCGGCAGAACCACTGAACTAAATCCCTGGCCCCTGACTAGCTAGCTTCCTGGCATGTACTAGAATCATGGTCAGGCTGGGACTTAAGGTCACTGGTCTGTTGGTGTCAAAGTGTGGACTGTCATCACCCATGACCAGATCTCCTCCAAACTTGGACTGAGGCTGATGAAACAAAATTACATGAAAAGGGCAACATGCCTGACACATTTTCAGGAAGAGAAATAAAAGGGAGTGCCTAGCAAGGTTGGACCACAAACCATCTCAGAGAAGGAGATCAACCCCAAACCATGCAACAACATGAGGTGTGTACCACATTTAAAATAAGATAATGCTAAGAATTCTGCTGACATTTTAAACTGCGTCTCAGTCTGTTTTGCGTCACTGTAAAACAATACCACAGACCACGTAATTTAAAAAAATGTACTTGCAAGGCTGCAGACTAGAAGTTCCACGTCAAGGTGCCACTATCTGTGAAGTCCAGAGAATGTGGGTGTGTCAGTTCCGGCCTTAGGAAGCCACTAATGCCAATGTGGGGCCACACTCATGGACACATTAACACCAGTTATCTCCCAAGACCTCACTTCCAAAAGCCAGCAAAGCCATGTGAATTTGGAAGTTATGTTTTAAACACATGAATGGGGGCCACATTAGAACCCCAGTGATAAGCAAGGGACATTTTTAAAAAACATGATTCATTATTTTTCTTTGAGCACTGTACTTTATAATACTCCAGCTGATAAGAAGAAGAAGAGGAAGAAGAAGAAGGAGGAGGAGGAAGAGGAGGAAGAAGAGGAGGAGGAAGAGGAGGAGGAGGAGGAGGAGGAGGAGGAGATGTGGTATATCGACAGGAAAGCCCATGTGATTACAGAAGAGTCAGTGTATAGACCAACCCTAAATCCCACACTGAACAGTCAGCCCAGTTTACATAACTGCTATAACAAGTTTTTCCTTGCCAAGAAATAGCTTGTGGCAGATGAAGGAGAGAGAGTGTCACATTTTCATTGTAATTTCAGTGGAATAAAGCGAGACTCTATCAAGACAAAGATTTCAAGAAGGAATTAAAGAACTTCATCCACAGTTCCTGTCTGGTTAATACTGGGATGCTTCTGCCCTGGATACCTCTGATGGGGCTGCGGTGTCTAGAGGACAATGGCTATCTGGGGCCCTAAGGACAGGGCTGTGTCTTTGTCCATCCTCTGTCCAGGAGGTGGGGACAGGTCATGACGGGCACTCGAGGACAGCCTATAAAACATGTGCACAAGTGGGAATAAAGGAAGCAACGGAGCTCTGACCCTCCTCCTCTCATCACACCATGCAAGCCATTTGAATGGCTGATGGCTGGGCTGGGGGCAACCCTGGGTCCTTCCTATAGGAGTCTTAGTCTGGGGTGCAGCTCAGTGGTAGGGGCTTGCCTAGCACATGCAAGGGACTGGGTTCCATTCCCAGTACCACAAAAACAAAGCAAAACAAAACAATGACTGTTCTCTCCTTGTTCCCCCGCTCACTGCAGATGACACCTTAAGAAGGGTGTCAGATAAAGCAAATGAGATAGAAAGCACTCTGGTAATGAGCCACAAATCACCTTTCAGTATGATCTGGTGTATAGTGGACTAGTGCAAAGGAGAGTCTAATTAGGATGATTTAAGAAATTGCTGTGGTTCATCTGAAATCAGACCTGGCCTAGGTGTCCTGTATGTTATCTGGGGCCCACCATTCCAGAGCCCTGCCTGTATGAAGGAGGGCACTATGTCCACATTTGGGGACGCATAGGGGAGGGTCAAGAAAACCTTCATCCCCTCAGGTGTAATGAGTCACTAACTGCAATGATGATGGGCTAGGAGGGAGGCAGGAGAGCTGAGAAATGAATTTAGAGGAAGGTCCTCTGTTCTCTCTGGGAGGTGGGCAGATGCACTGGCCTCAGGCAAAGCAGAACCCTGCATCTTGAGTGAGATAGGGAGGGAGTAGGTGGATAAGATGGGAAGAATGGGGTAGGTAGATGAGGAAAGGGGGAGTAATGGGGGTGAGGGTAGATGGGTAAAGGTGGGGAGTAGGTGGGGTGGGTGGTACTTATATCCTTCCCAAATTGGAGCAGAGACAGGGGTACATGACCTCATGATTTGCTCCTTTCTATGCAGTGTTGGGAATGAATATGCACTAGGCTCCTGTACAAAGTACCACACATGGGCAACTTAGACAGCACACATTTATTGTCACAGTTCTGGAGGCCAGAAGTCTAAAAGCAAGGCACCAGTGCACAGGTGTCACCCCAAAGTCCTCCTCCTGGTGGGCCATAGCCGTTGTCTCACTGTGCAAGTGTGGGGGGCTCTGCCCCATGTCTTTTCTTCGAAGGACCTGATCTTGTGAGTCAGGGTCCCCCACTCTTAGGACATCATGTAACCTCAGTCACCTTCCTGTGGGCCCTGTTGTCAAATTCAGCCATACTGGGATGAGGGCTTCAGAGTATGATTTTGTGATGGGGTGGGTGGAGGGGCACAATTCAACACATAGCACCTGTTGAGTAAAAAATTCTGAACTATTCTTGAAGGATTTCAAGAGCTTTCTTACAAGTCCTATAGTATCTCTCCCTATATTTAGAAATGTAATACCTACAGAGACAGGAGTGAAACAAAAATAAAACAAATAGCAAAGCAAAGAGTAGAAGAGCTACATGGAAAGTCTTAGGCATTCAGGATCGGAATTACTTTTTTTTTTTCCAGAATATTTTAAAATTTGGATTATTAATCTGGAGCATGAGAATATAAATTCTTTTATTTAACACATTTTCTTTCATTCACTTACAGCTTTGTATTATTTACTAAATTTTTTAAAAGAGAAAGAAAATAGCTGGTAATGTTTAATCTTAGCACTTGGGAGGCTGAGGGAGGAGGATGGAGGCCAGTCTGATTTATATAGTGTGTTCAAAGCTAGTCTGGTCTATGTATCTAGACTTTGCCTCAAAAAACAGACAAAACAATAAAAAGCAAAGAAACAAAAAAACCCAAAATTGCATTTCTTTTAAACTTGTATAATTCAGATTTTTATTAAATTAGATGAATATTACTATCATTACTCTAAATTAATGAAGTTTGATTATGATTTCCTTTAATTGCATATAAAATTAGATAATTGGGGGAAAAGTAGGTATCTTGAAACATTTTTACCATCATGACAATTGTTTGGTTGAATCCTCTTATGTTGTAAGTGTGGAAAATTGAGTGTGAAAAAGTCCAAGTAATGTGCTCAAAATCCATTCACTCGAGTATAAATATCTGTTAAGTATCCCCTCTGTGCCAGGCACTGTGCTGTATGCATTTTGAGCTGGGCCCCAAACCAGGCCTGAAGATTTTAAAGCAATGTTCTCCCTTCTCTTATTTTTTCCCAACATTCTCATAAATTAGGCCAACCTCTCCTGTAGTTGCCACTGAATTTTCACAGAGTAAGAAATGCTGTACCCGTGTCAGCCTGAAAGCACACTGAACAGGGCCTTTTCTGTGGAAGCACTCGGAGCAGTGATCCCTGCTGAAGCTCAAGGAGCTCAGCCCATAGGTTCACGGGGTCAGACCGAAAGGCGTGAGTCCTCCATGGCTGGGCCCTACAACTGACTCTGTGTGGAGGCTTTGCAGGAGAGTAAAATAACCTCCAGCCACTAAGCACGTATGGGCTGGCTGCACACTCCCCCAGTACAAAACATTAGCTATATTCAAATGTATAAGTTAATCAAAAAGGAAAGATAAAAAGACAGATAAAGATACGAAGTGTATTGGATGCTGCTTGTAGGGCTACAAGTGCCTTACTCCCTGGCGCTCTGAGCCTCAGTCCTGTGACTGAGCAGCAGGCTGAAGCAAGTTGGCCAAGACCTGCCTGGGGCTGGCTTCCTCCACAGGGGAGCTGGAAGACTCATTGGCAGAACTGATTACTTGGAAGAATGGGAAAAATTGGAGATGGCTGTAAATTTTGAGGATTGTATTGAAAATAACATAATTATTTCAAAGAGTAATATTTTAGCTATTGACCAAAACTCTTTAAGAAGTAATTGTAACAAATCTCTGTGTTATGTATTGGCCCTGGTTAGGGGACTACACTTGCTTAGGTGTGTCAGTCTTCCTCTGTCACTGTTGTGACCCTGTTCCAAGATGGCTCTGATTATCCTTGAAGGAGACATTGAACACAGCAAGGGAGGCCTTGGAGGTTAGGGAGTATCTGAGAAGTTCAGACAAAATTACTCCTTGTTATTAAGGATGAGAGGACACATTCTGGGTCTCCCCCACCTCCCTCCCTCCCTGCCACCCTTCTTTCTTTTCATAGTTTCTTTTAATGGTTTGTTCTTTAGTTTTCAGATGAGCTTTGCTGGGCACCCTGGGTGGCATCTCTACCAGACACTGGAAACTATTAACCACGCCTTCTGGGGAGCTGGGAGAGACATTAACTGGTAGTGTCTGTATCACCTGTTCAAAAATTCAATTCCAGTTTTTAAAAAAATGCTTTGTGTGTGTGGTACTGGGGGTTGAAACCAAGAGTACTCTACAACTGAGCTATACATCCAGTCCTTTTTATTTCATTTTTAAGACAGGGTTTCACTAAGTCACCCAGACTGTCCTTGAAATTGTGATCTTCCTGCCTCAGCTTCTGGAGTAGGTAGGATTTCAGGCACGCACCACCACATCCACCTACAATTAATATTCTCAAGCATTCAACAATGAAACATTAAAAATGTTGATTAGAATAGCTTCAAAAGCTCTGGGGAGAGTGGCTGGTGGAAGGCACAGCTTCGGAGATCAAAGTCCAGGCTGATATGCTGGGCCACAAATTGGATGCTGGCAGGGAACGAGCCCAGAGTGACTGCACAAAGCACTCTGATGTCACAAAGCCCCGCTGTGGGATGGAAGAAAGAAAGGAGGATGCAGAGAGAAGAGCCCTTTCATGTTGATAAGGTCATGATGTAGTGCACAAATAGTGCCAGGATGGTCATGTGGTAGCACTCCAGCTTGGGATGGATTTGGACATAGTCTCCCTTCTCACGATGTCTGGTGATTTAAAGAAGCTGCTGCATAAACCCCCAGACTTCTTATTGGATTCAACTCTCATTCCCCACCAGCTTTTTTTTTTTTTGGTACTGGGGATCGAACTTGGGTCCTTGCACTTGCGCAGCAGGTGGTGAAACCACTGAGCTAAATCCCCAGCCCAGCCCACCAGCTATTTTTAAAAGGTAAGTTTAATTTTCACACATGGAAAGCTCTCCTTTCTGACTCAGCATTAACATTAAAAAAGATGTTAATATGTGAGCTGCTCTCTTCATTATACTTTCCTAGGAAATGTAGAGATTTAAATAAATCATTTCTTTTGAAAGGGCAAAAAAAATAATTACCCAGTGTGTAAAGAGTATAAATAGATGAAATTGTCATTCAACATACTGGCTATTTTTAAATTTGATTTGAAACAGGATATTCTGACATGTCCTTTTGGATTTACACACAATGTCCAAAAATGAGCTTCTCAAACGACTGACTTTCTTTTTTCTTCAGGAAAAGAGGGCAGGAGGTTCAAGAGTGATTTTAGCATGCTGGGAATTTACTCCAAGGGACAACGAAATTGTGTGATAGAGCGATAGAGGATCACAATGTTCCTTTTACCCAGAATTGGGACAAAGGAAAGGAATTTATATTTAATTTATAATTTATCAACTATAGATACTTTATGTACATTTACTCATTTAATTTTCACAACTATTTGATTAAGTATACTTGCCCCTATTTTACCGGTGAAAAATCTGAGGTTGATAAAGTTTTACTACACCAGATTACACAGCCAGGGACAGAGCTGGTATTACAACAGAGGTCTAGCTGACCTTGATTTACTATTTTTTAATGTGATGTGATAAGTAGAATGTTAGATTATCATGAGAGATAAGCCAGAAACAGAGAGGGTAGATGGTAAAGGGTGTGGGAAGCTCCACTAAGAAGTGGCAGGAATCGGCAGGAAATGCTGCAGCCCAGTATTTCTCAAAGTGTGGTCCATGGTTCCCTAGGGATCCCTAAGGTCCTTTCCAGGGTCTGCAAGGTACAAGTGATTTCACAGTAGGACTACATGAAAATACAAAGTTGACCATACAACTGCATTCATATCAAAGCTATGTTAACAATTAACAAAACGTGTTATCTGCATTTTCCAAATGTTGACATTTGCTGTGATGTGCAAACCAAAAGTAGTACATCTGCCAGATGCTCACTGCTTAGCAGGGGCAGTGAAAAGATGGCCAGTTCCACCTCAGAATGAGAAGCAGTGAAAATCAACTCATCACACTTCCACTGCAAAGTCTGTGTCCTTTTGTTCTTCCACGTGATGACACAGAAAGTGTGGATTAAGACCTCTGCACAGTGCTGAATCGCAGTGGGCTGTTCATTTGCAAGAGGAGCTTGCTGCTTTGTCCACACACCATGGGTCTTACTGGGCAGAGCAAGTGATAGATAAACTATGTTACCCAGGATGTGGTACTTGGTAGACATTTTCCAGCAAATGAGTGAAGTGAACCTATCTCTTCAAGGAAAGTAAATTTCTGGGCAATGACAACACTGGAGGTTTTGTGTGGAAATTAGAATTTTGCAAATGTGAATTCATCACTGTGAGCTTGATAATTTCTCAATATTTAAAGACTTTTTGATGAGCTCAGAAGACTTTTTGAGTGGTAACATTAACCACTGATGGTATGGTAATATGCCTTTTTAATATTGTGTGAAATATATGAAATATTTTTAATATTGTTTGAAATGCATAAACATGTGGGAGATTGGCATAACTCAGTGAAATCAAACTTTCAAAATGACTCCTACAAAGTGCAAGTCAGGCCTATGAATTTTACTGTGAGTGTGAAAAACTCATGGATGTAATTTTAGAGTCTGAGTTGCAATTAGCCTTTAAGAAATTATGACTTGTCTAGTTTCACTGCATTATCAAATTTAAAAATCCATAATTATCTGAAGAGGCTATTGAAATATTTCCTTCTTCGGATCAAATGAAGCAAGATATGACAATAAATTAACACAGAAGTTCACCTGAACAGATTTTTCTCCAAGCCAGGCACAAAAGATACTTACAGAAGTATTCTTTTATATATACATTTATACCTTTTTTATGTAGTTAAAAATGTGCTCAGTTTTCATAAAATCATGTTACTTATCATCAACATGTAATGGATTTATTATTATTACTTTTGAGTGACTTTTGGAAAATTCTCAGGTTTTTCTGTGTGTGTGTGTGTGTGTGTGTGTGTGTGTGTGTTGTTCTTTGCTGGTTTGTTTTTTTGAGACAGGGTCTCACTTTGTAGTGCAAGTTGCCCTTGAACTCACCATGTAGCCCAGGTTGGCCACAAACTCACAGTGATGCTCCTGCCTCAGTCTCCCAAATGTTGGGATTACATGCATGTGCCCCCATGCCTGGCTAAAATTCTGTTTTAATTGGGAATACAATAAATATTGACAGAAGTGACCTGTGTGAACAAAATATCTCTGAGGTCCTTGATAATTTCGAGTAGAGATGGGTCCTGAGATGAAAAAGTTGAGAGGAGCTGCTCTGGGTGGCAGCAGGACTTCGTGCATCATAAGGGCCCGGATACACATTTCTTGCCTTAGGAGTTAACAGTTCCAGAGGAAAAATGTCAGGGTGGGATAGGCTGTCATGGAAGTGCATAAGAAATCCCCCCACCGGTCCTCTGGGGATGAGAGAGATGATGTCATAAGCTGAGATGTGGAACATAAAGATAGGCAGTGGAGGAAAGGAGGAAAGAAGTTGGGGTTACGGGGTTCTAAGAAGCAGAAGCATTATCTGGTCAGAAGTGAGAGGTGGGTATTGGGATTTACCCCCAGCACATCAGTGAGAATAGCGAGATCAGCAGAAGCAGAGGACAGTGTTGGGCCCTCTGGGAAGCCACACAGCTGAGGGCTGAAGTCAGTACAGGCAGGCTGACTTTTTGTGACCAAAACTGTAATGAGTTTTACATTTTGAATTGCGCCTGCTGTGGGCTGAATGTGTCCCCCAAAATTCATGTTGAAACTTGGTCGTCAATGTGATAGTGTTGGGGGGGGGATATAGGAAGTGACTCAGTGAGGAGGGTAGGGCATTGGGGATGGGGTCTGTTCCTTCCCTCTCCTCCCCCAAGTGAGGGCACAGCACCGGTCCCCTCTGCAGACCCAGCATTAAGGTGTCACCTTGGAAGTGGAGAGCAGACTTCTCCAGACTCTGGTGCTAGCACCTTGCTCTTGACTTCCAGCCTCTAGAAATGTGAGAAATACATTTCCGTTCTCTGTCAGTCAGTCGGTCGCAGGCATTTGTTACAGTGTCACAGAGGGACTAAGACAGCATCGGGTTAAATCATGCATGCTGTCAGACATTTATTTCTATAACTTGCCCAGAGCTTGGAAGGAGGCCTGAGCTGGGCCACAGGCCCCTATACTGTTCTGAGTTCCACAGCGGTGTGAGTACCATGCTGGTACCCACATTAGCCTTCACGGTTGTTTGTACTTGTAAAAGAATGCCTTAAATATTGAGGAGACAAGACTCTTAGGAAGCAATTAGTAGCAGCTAATGAAAGCCAGAGCAGAAGTGGATCCTCAGAGGTGAGGGACAGGAGTGGAGGGGCCAGGATGTGCGCTCCCACTCAGAGGCAGCCTTTTCACTGTCCCTGGGAGCTGCCCACCTCCTAGTTCCCATACTGCCTTCCTTGCAGAGCCACCTTTGTGCCATTGGAGCCTCACACACACATTTTCTTTCTTAGCAACCATCTTTGCCCTTCATTTTTTACTTTGTACTTATAATTACTTTTTGTTTCTTGGGGCTTTTCTGCCTACCCCAAACCATGCCTCATTATCTTGTGTACTCCTGCACATCACTGGCATTTAATAACTGGCCAAGGAATTGGAAGAAAGGGGAGATGAGCAGGTCTTTAAATGCAGTTGTACAGTTAGTTGTAGGCTCCTAAGCAGAGATAAGTGCACCTTGTGTATTTGTAGGACCCTGAGCCAACTAGCTGACTGTTCTGAGGTCTTTTCTTGATGTATAAAATGGGACAATAGCACCGTGAAGATGGGTGAGATGAGAGCACTGCTGAGCTCATTGTCAGGGAGAGCCCTAACTCAGGAGGGAAGGTGGTACCTTAGGGATGAGGGAGGAGTCGGAGCCCAGGCCAAGAGAGAGAGAGGCTGGGAAAGACTTGGAGAGACCTGAGCAATCAGGAGAAACTGATGTGGTAGACAAGGGCTCCAGAGAGGGAGTTGGATGTGACACCCACAGGATAGTGGGCAGAGAGTCAGGCTGGGATCCCAGGGCATGGCAAGGCTCTGGGGCTTTAGGTTCATTGCAGTCATGGTGGTGGAAGGGGAAGAGACTGGTGTGGTGGATTTTCCAAAGGTGGAAGGTTAAAGATTCCACCCGGATGACACCAGATAGGGAGGCTGGGTGCAGCTCTGGGGGCAAAAGTAAATCAGTCTCACCCTGGTTGGTGTTGATGTTTTAAGAAACTTGTCTTTCTCATCATCAAAGGATAATGACATTGCAGGACAGTGTGAGAACCATTAATTAATGTCTGAATTGTGCCCCAAGGGACAGGGAAGACAGAGCATTTGGAGAAGGCTAAAATCCCAAGCATGTGATAAGCACTGCCTCCCTGCAGCAGCAGCTGGCTGCAAGACCAGGGAATTAATGTGATGTTGTTTTTAATAGAATGGGGGCAGTCACATTAGTCCTGCATGGCCAGACTGATGTGGGCACGCCTCTCCCCACAATCCACACCAGTTGAGAAAGGTCATCCTTCACATGCTTCTTCTCTATTTCACTTGTGCTACATCCTTACCATGAAAGCTCATTGAGACAAGCTCCCTGTGCTTTTTGGCTTGTGAATCCCTGTTTGTTGACCAGGGTGTGAAGTAAAATGACAGGGAAAGAGCTTCACTGTGAGAAAGAGGGATTTAGGTTGGCATAAATGAGGTGAGTCGGAGGCTGCAGATAAAGCTGGGGCGGGGACTGCCTATCACGTTTAAATGACTAAGGCAGATATTTATCTTTCAGGGATTATTCTGCTAACATTTCTGACTGAAAGCAGATTTCTGTGACACTAAAACAAGGAAGGGGGTCGGGATGCAGGAGAAAGCTAATTTTGTAGCTGGTGGCATAGTTAACTTCCTTTTATTTTAGGGTAGAGACTTGTAAATTCTGGACATTAAGATAAATTTTGCCCAAGTTCTTTTCCTGAGGCTCGGCCTCCCTTTCCCTGTGTTCCCAGCACCACAGCCAAATGGCCCTTTGTGCTCTTCCCTTCTAGGGCAGCTGTGTCTACTCTGGCCCATATATCCTTTACTGCCTGCGCCCCACTCCCTGGGCTTGGGGCCTCAGAACTCATCTGCGTAGCCCAGGCCTGTGCTTTTGCTGGGACAGGAGCCTAGAGTCTTTCCTAATGCAGTTGTCCAGCTCCTGGCTGCTGGGGATGGGGCAGGGCTCTAGATGGCTCCTGGGGGTGAGTGCAGGTCTAACCTGGAGCCTGGCACAGCTCCCTGCTCCCACCTGCCTTTTGGGATTCTCTCCATCAATAGCAACTCTCCCACTTGCGTGAGGGATTGCTCCTAGCACACAAATCCTACTCTCTAAAGAGCCTTTCCTCTGCTGATGAGCAGAGCTTGTCACTCTCTGTCTGTGGCTCATGCTTGGAAGTCAGTAATCAGAAAGAGAAATATGTGTGGTTTGGATACCAAGTGCCTGGATATTTAGACAGTGGAGAGGGCTGGTGAGAAACCCCAACTCTAATAACTGCCGTGCGCATCAGTCCTACCTAAGGTGAATAAGTAGAGGGTAAAATGGACTGGGAAGAACGCTACCTTTTATTCTCCTGTGAGCTGCCTTCTGTTTAGGTGCTGCGAAATTATCTGGAACAGCAGGAGAAAGGAGAGAAATAGAGAATCTATTGGAAAAAGAAACTAATACTATTTTAGCAGACCCCCCAGTTAGAGAATGAACTGAAATCTGGTCTTTAAAGAACAAATCAAAGGAGTGAAACAGCCAAATTTCCAACTGGGCCTGAAGCAGGCTGGTAGGAGCTCAAAAGAGGATGAACTAGGAGCAGAACCCTCTGGCTGGACATGGGGCCAGAGGATGCCCATGTGCTCCCTGGGACCTGGTTCCTGGAGAGGAAACTATGCAAAACCAGGGCACTGGCCACAGGCACTTGGAGCCTGGACCACAGCAGACATCCTCAGTGCACAAGATGAGTGGGTTCTGCAGGTTCTTTCTCATTCAATCCTCATCATCTTTCAAAATTACCTAGAGAGAAGGACTTGAGAGTTTTGCTCCATTCCCAAAAATGTTAACCTAATATGCCATGGGTACTAGAACAACCCAGCCCAGGAAGTTACAGGGTATCCTTGTATAGAATAATACATTCAATGAGTCTTGGTCCAGTGAGCACACATCAGAGATGGTCCACCAAAGCACGGTGGGTCACACTCCAACGCCAAGGACACCAACATGGACAAGGTCCAGACTGAAATCTGGTGGTGATGATAATGATGGCACAATAAAGGATGACAGCCAGCTCCTTGCCCTTCTTTCTGGGGACAAAGTCATCTGCAGTAGGCAGGCCCTGAGGGCTTCCAGTGACACTGCTTTGTGATCCTAGAGTCGTGGACTCATGACATCATGAGTTTGTTCAAATCCACAGAGCCCCAGCAACAAGCATAGACCCTTATGTGGATGCTGGGCTCTGGGTTGTGGTGGCATGGGTTCATCAGCTAACACAAAAGCATCACTCTAGTGGGGGATATGGATAATGCACAGGCTGCACATGGGTCAGAGACTTTGTGGGAAATCACTACACCTTCTGCTCAATTTTGCAGGGAACCTAAAACTACTCTAAAAAATAAAGACTATTTAAGAAAAAGAATGAAGTGCAAACAAATGCTACAATGGAAGTGAAGCTTGAAAACATGCTTAGTGAAGGAAACCAGACACAAGAGTCAGTATTATATGATTCTACTTGCATGAAGGTCAAGAACAGGCAAAGCTGTGAAGACAGGAATTTGATGAGTGGCTGGCTGGCACTGGAGGATGAGAGGGACTGCAGCTGAGTGTGGGATTTGATTCCTTTTGGAGTACTGAGAATGTGAGGTGGTGGTGACAGTCGCACAGCCTTGTGAATAGGCCGACTACCACTGAATTTAAAAGGGTAAGTTTATGGTACATTAATGATAGCACAATAAAGATGCTCAAAAATGATTTGCACATAAAAAAGGAGATCCTTGGATGAGAATTTAACTCCACTAAATTTAATCCAGCATTCATGGGTGAGGCCAGCATGCCCACATATGACCATGTATTCACACGTCCTACAGCAAGAGCAATGGGTGAAACACTGAACTATTTCCTTAGTGCCTGCTAAATAGTGATAATGAGAAATATTCTTATAATCATGTAGATACTGAGGTAAACTCACAAAGTCATGCTAATTGTTACATAGACCATTGCAGCTGCTATAGATAACAGGGCATCTATTTTTCTGTCTTCAGAGAGCCTTCTAGTTTTATTGCCATAGAGCTTGTATTTCTTACGTAAGGAGTAGCTGCAGAATTTTAAAAAGACTATTATAAACAAACCCCACTCTGGGTAAATGTATTAGTGCTCCCTTTATATTTCATAAGCATGTGTCTTCTGAATCTTCAGGGGAGCAAGAGGAAATAATATGAGATCTACAGGCAGAACATCTCCTGGCACTGTGCAAAGGCCAAACTGGCCAAGGACAGATTTGATGTTATGAAAGAGTGAGTAAAAAAGAGGCTGTGTGGTTGAAAGAAAAACAGTTTGAATATTTCAACAAAATATGAGCAACTTATTATTGCTATTGCCATAAATGTTAGGTGCAAATAGGGCTAAATTTAGTAATGTTAAAAGTTTAAAATGCTAAGTTATCAACATATTTTAGCACAAAAAATCATGTTCTGCTAAAGGCTCATGGTTTACATAAAGAAAATTCATGGTAATTGAGAAAAAGGTGAGAGAATCATAATTCATTATCATCACCACTTAATTTATGAGAAATGTTTTAGGTGTTGATAAAGATATTTAGAAAATATCATCATATTCTTTACCACCACCTACTCTGCAGCTGAATGTAATCAGACATTTCAGGCAAGAAATATTCACCAGGACTTCAGAGGCAGCCTCACAGGGACACAGGTAAGTCATCATGGCCCGATGTTAGACCCTGCTCATTGAAGACAGGCACCTGCTGAAATGTGAAAACAATTTTTGAAAAACTACAAACCAAAACAGTTAAGTTCAACCATAATTGTCAAACTTCATCTCTGTCACATAAGACTGTTGGAATAACAGAAGTATAAAACTCAGAAGTTTGAAGATAGGCTTAGATAGGTTTAATGGTTTTGTTGATGTTGGACGTGTGTAACTTCATATCACTACTTTTGGTGGTTGAGAAAAATGATTTTAATGAGAACTCTCTCTGCATGAAACACATTAGATACATATTACAAAGAGGGTCAGTGTAGGTCTAAAGGGACAGCATGTCATTTTTTCCTAAATCTTTATAAAAACTTCCAGATGTTTTAATTTAGATGGTCCAAAATGACCACATTCAGTTCTATCGGGATGCCTCAATAATATTTGTAAATCAATGACCTTGTACCTTTCCCCAGCAAGCCTTATGTTTGGATTACACATCAAGTAACCAGCAGAGAGAATTTACTACTATGTTTGAAGAGCTAGAATGAAAATAAAGAAAACTGGAAGAATTTTTGGATCCTAATGGATCCATGCACAGCCAGAGCTGTTGGAACATTTTGTCAACTGCATGGAGATTTGTATATTCCTTCTAATGAAACTGGTGAAATGGGAGTGGCTGAACACTGGAGGATTGGCTTCAGTAAACACTGCCCTCTAACATGGTGGTGGAAACTTCCCTGAGTCTGAGAAGAGAGACATGCTTCTGTTGTTAAAGAGAGGCCAAAGATCATTTTTCACATGTATTCATTCTTGTAAGTGAGACCTGGCCTGGCTACTCCACCCTATTCCCTGGTCTAGTTCTTTTTCAATAGAACTTATCATGCTTAAATCATGTATGTTTTCCTTTTTGGTTATGTTTATTATTTTCTTTCCTCTACATTGTAAGACCATGAAGGACAAGAATTTTTATTGTTCTGGATTCTAACGAATGATGTAACTAGAAGGGCATCTTATACCTGGTGGGTTGTTAATCAAAAAATACTTCCTGAATGCACATATAAAACAAATAAAACTACAAAGGAATAGTATAAAATAGTATTTGAATAAAGAAATAGGATTTAAATTTTGAAACAAGAACATAAAGTAGCCATACTAGGGGGAAAAAAGGATTAACTTGTCTGAAATTACCTGAAAATTCATTTCACATTGATGAAAGAAGCAAGGAAAGTGAAATGTTAGGATTGTTGAATACTTCAAATTCTGAAACTAGGTCAAATGACATTTGTGGAGGTCTGTGGATAAAGCAAATCTAGCTAACTAATTAAATACGACAATTCAATAACTGTTTTCCATGATACAGTATTGTAATGGAAATATAGAGTATATAAAAATCTCAGACATGTGATTAGGGCTGAAACACGTACATGTAATTGATGCCAGTACATCAAAAGCTCACACCGGTTTCTGTATCAATGATGTCATGAGCAATTCTCTATCTAGACTGAAGTCACTGAATAACTATGTAATTGACAGGGAAAGTGTTAGAAGAAATTTGAGGGGATTGTCAATGTCAAATCATTGCTCACTAAAGAGCATCTTATAGAAACAGATAAGTAAGAAAAAAGTCATGCCAAAAATTTTTAGATGTTTGTCTATGATTTGAAAATTATTAGAATGATTTGACAAGTGATTTGTGCTGTAAACCATATATATTTGTAAATAATTATCTGTAAATGTGTTTCATAACAATTATGTACCTTAGAAAGCAAAAGAGAATATATTTTATAATTTTTAAGTATACATTATTTGTTTTATTGTGTAGTTGTTAATATCTTGACTCCTGCCCAGGGAACTGTGTGCCTAAGTTGGGGGGAACAGGCTACCCATTTGCAAGGATTTAGAGGGCAGATTGTCATCTTTTGTTAGGACTACCACATCTTTGTGAACTTCATGCCTGTGAGGTGCACTACATTTGCAAGAGAGCTCACAAATGTCACCAGAATGATGAAGAGGAAGAAGCTACTTTGGCCTGAGATGATTGTGGCCTTGAAGTGAGGGGGGCGGGGTGTGTGTGAGCTCAGTGATGGGCAGGATTTTAGGAACTGGAGACCAAAGCAACACTGGAATTTCCTGAGCAAAGCATAGAGAAGAGAGTGCATAAAAATGTTCTCAGGGTGGGAGAGCTGCTTCTCCTAAGTTGTGGGTGTGTTACAAAGCTAGATAGGCAGGGAAGAATGAATGGGAGGAAGGCCTGGACACCAGCTCCGGCTTGGGTTTGGTGCTGTGGGCAGCCAGTGAGGGTGATGTGTATAAGAAGTGCTAGAGAAGCTGTCTGGCCAAAGTGTGGATTAATGCTATGGTTTGGGCATGTCTGCCAAGTGTTCCTGTGTTGGAAGCTTTGTCTTAGTGTGGCTCTGTTGAGGTGGGGGGATCTTTAAGGGTCCCCACCTTAATTATCTAGTGGAGATAATTAGGTCTTGGGGGCTCCACCCCCATGAATGGATTGGTACTGGTCCCTCGAATAAGTTAGGTCTTAAAAGAATGAGAAGTTCTAGTGAAAATGGGTTGTTATAAAAGAGACAGCTTGGCCCCTGGCCCCTGACCTCTCACTTCCTGTCTTTCCACGTGGTTTCCTTCACATGCCTTCCTGCCATGGTGATGCTCTCTCCATGAGGCCCTCACCAGAACCAAGCACATGCTGGTGCCATGCCCTTGAGTCTCCAGATTGAGAACTAAATAAACCTCCTTTAAAAATAAGGTACCCAAGCTGAGGATAGTGGCATGTGTCTGTGATCCCTGCACTCTGGGTGACTGAGGCAGAAGGACTGAAAGTTTGAGCCCAACATGAGTAACTTTATTAACTTAGTGAAACCCTGTCTCAAAATTTTAAAAATTCTTTTTCGAGAAGGCTAGAGATATAGTTCAGTGAAAAGGCCATAGGTTCAATGCCCTGTATTCCCCATTCTCAGTACTATATTCTTTTATGGCTGGGCTGGATGCAAAGAGGCTTAGCAAGAGAGTGCCGAGCATCACAGAGCAGAGAGGAGGCAGTAAGAAATGCATCAGGTTCTCCTTGAAGGCTTCTGTATAGTGTTGCTGGAGAAAGAATGGTCATCAAAATGCCTCTGAGAACAGAAATAAGGCTGAGAGAAGAACCCCACAGGGGTTCATGCTGGTGACAGGAACAGGACTGGAGGAGCCCTGGCTGGGCAATGTGCACAGCCCATAGTGCCTGGGAAATGTCACAGCCTAGGGCATGGGCGTGATTCCTCCATCGGAGGCTGAGTGTTGAAGCGGAGAATAATGAAACAGATTCTCTGAGGTGGATTCTCTGAGCTATAGGTGAACATAACAAAATTGCAGGCCAGTATGGGAAAGCCTTGAGAGGTACATAGAGGTAAAGGCAGGTCATTCATCAGGTCTTGACATTCCATAACCAGTGAACATCCCTCAGCCTTGGTGGTAGGCGCATGGACCCTAGAAGCTCAGTTCTATCCTGGTGTCAGCATCCGGGGATAGGCTGGGGTGTCCTGCTCTCTAGCAGCACAGTCCTACCTGAGTGTGACAGTTCCTTTGTCTTGGGGAAGATTCCAAAGTCAAGCACTTCGGGTGGGTCATTCACAGTAAGGCCAGCACTCGTTTAGGAAATTTCGCCTCTAGGATCGCAGTTCCCATGGGAAAGTCCTGCTCTGGGCAGTCTTCCCAGAAGGCCTCACTGGGCTCCTTGTTTGTTTTCTCCTGGAGGGTAGAATGAGAGCTAGGAAGGAGGGGAATTGAGCTGATGGGACCATGGGCTCATGACACCTGTTGTAGGGCCCTGTCCCTCTCTTTTGGTTTCTTCCTTGTAACAGAATTGCTGTGAAATCCCGCCTGGTACACTTTAGCTATAAGACTTGCTAGTGTGCTTCTCGTTACTTGTATCTTCATATATCTCAGGCCACCTTTGTGACTGTGTCCATGATTAAACCTCATCTTCCCTCTCTCTTCCCTCCTTTCTTCTTCTTTGTCACTCGAGCATTCTATGTTAGTATTGCCAAAGTGTAATACAAAGCCCCTTAGGTATGTGGTGATCTCTGGTATGTTATCAGGTACAAAGAAATTGAGACTGTTTGAGGGTAAAATGTCCCATTGAAATGGAGAAAATAGATCTCAAGTAGATTTAGGAATAATGTTGTGCTGGAATGTCATGCCAGATATATTTATTACAACCTGTATGCTTGTTAAAAATGAGCCTAGTTTTGTTTTTTTTCTAGTTGGTATTTAGTCTTTCATTCTGTTTACTCAGCTAAAACTTGGTCCCTGTACAGAACTAAATAAAACCTTGGCATATTACACAGATTATCTTAGCAGAAGATGGAGTATTGGGAGATATGTTCTTTCGAAAAATAAGACTATTTCACAGAAAGTGATAGCAAAATTTTCCTTAGGACTGTTTTAAATATAATCATATACTAATTATAGAGTCATAATTTAACCTGAGGAGGAAAAGAAAGGAAACTGGAAAAAATAGTATGTGCATTTTAAGATCATTTTAATAAAACAGAGGAATGAATATCCTGCTGAAGGAGGGATTCCCAAGGTGGGTCTCTGGTTAGAAATTCCATAGCAAAGCTAACATCCATTTTGCTCCTGTACTGCACATAATGCAGTGGTTAGTTCTCCCCAAGTACTTGTCTGTCAGCCCTGTGTGGTTTCAGACACAGCTGTCAGTGACTGTGCTGGAGGAAAATCTGGAGTTTCAAGTGGCTGCAACGGGCCAAGGAAGAGCTCTACCTCACCGTTTCTGAACCAGTGGTTCCAACTCTGCCAACCCCTCTACCCTGATTGGACTGGGGACTGGACCAGGGATTAGTGTCTGGGTCATAAGTATGGTAAGTTGATGGGGGATGTCATCTCTCTGGGGTGACAAGCCAAAGATGTCAGCTCTTTCTAGGGAATGTAGACATCAAGTCCAGTAGTGCCCGTGGACCCTTCTCTCTAAGGCTTGCTGGAGGGAGCACCTTTCCATGGAGCCTCGGATCTGTCCCAAGTATGTCCCATCCTACAAGTGAGGGTATGTCCCCATAGTGCAACCTTAAGAGCTAGTGGGTACAAGATTATCAAGAATGCACATGTGAAAACGTTGGCCATCTGGTCAGCAAATCATAATAATAAGAAATAAAATGTCTTCTGGGCACCACAGGCCACTTTACACTGAAGAATCACCACCATACTATAGGAAAAGTACTGTTCCATCTGGTACTTTTTGGAGTGCTGTCAATTACTGACTCCAACATGGGTGCTTTCCCCTTCTCAGAATTGTGGAGACAGTAACAAGACCAAGCACTGATTAAATAGGAAGGGAGATTTTTACTTTAAGTCAAGAATAAGAGAAGTTGGACATAAAACTCACAAATGAACTTCTCAACCTGTTGAGGCTTGGGAGGTTATAGATAGAGGATAAAAGAAATGAGGGTTGGGGGAGGGACAGGCTAGTGAAGGGAAGGAATATTTATGTCTTCTCTGGGAATGGTAAAGATTTTCTGAGAAGTCTGGTTCTGTGTCTTTTATGTTACTGTGTCAGCATCAAGGCGATTTGAACTGTCATGGTGCTGAAGTGTGTCATTTAGCATGCAGATGGAATTATAATGAAGGCAGAGGTTGTCTTGAGGTCACTCTGGCAGCTGTTTTGGATCCATCCAGTTTTAGTGAGGCGCCCTGGAGGGCAACCACAGACCTTCTGTCCCCAAAGAGGAGGAAGACTAGGGCAGGGTGGAAATTCAGGTAGGCCAAGCAGGCAGTACAAGATTGGACAAAGGAAAGGAACAAGAGGAGATGAATCCTGAGAGGTGAGGCCACCTGCACAGGCAGAGAACTGCAGCCTGATGGGCTGCAATATGTTGTCCCTGCCCCATTAGGGTGTGGCAAGTACCTGCTGAA